GTATTTATTGTTGCTTGGTGGTAATGTCAGCGATGCCGAAATGTTAACACGTATAAAACCGTACAAAATAACAAAAAAAAAAAATATGAAAAATATTAAACTGCATACTTACTTGCACGCGAATGTACCAACGTTTGGAAAAAAAGCAACAATATCGGTGCAAAAATGAGCTTATTGCCCAGCGGTTAGCAGTTTGGCAGTGTGGTGGCGCTTGTATGCACTCATGTTCTGAATCCCTTATGTGTGTTCATGTAAAATGTGGAACAACATACATACATACATATGTACATGAGACAAATTGGAATTCATAGCCACTTCACTCCTTGCGACACATTTTTGTTTTTCGGTAACCAATTTTCGCCTTTTTTGTTATTCTTTTACTGGTTGTTTGCTTTATTTTTTTTTAAGCGACAATGGTTGGTCATTGCGTATGAGTAACTAGCAATTCTTTCTCCGAGTGGTAAGTAAGAGAGAAAATGATAAAAATATTATGAGATGTCATTGAGGAAAGATATAAAATGTCATTAAACTAGTAGCCAATATAAGCATAAGCAAATTGAAAAAAATATAATTACACTAGTGAACCCGCATGGCGTTAAAACGTTTTCAATTGAATTTCAAAAACTTAAAAGAGTATTCCAATTGGTAGTCAGAGTTATAAGAGATGCGATTGCCATATTTCATCAAAACCGTGCCGCCGTTTCTGAGTGAAGAGCAGTCTCGCATAGCGCATGTTTTTACTTTCATCGAATTTTAAATCACCCTGTACCGATGGAAAAAAGTTCGTAATTAAAAAAATAATACTTTATCATACATATATTTACAGGCTAAGGTCTAGAATTTGACCTCTCTCTTTCGCAACCCTCAAATGGCAACCCTCCTAAATAAAGATCAGGAATAAATCCCTTTCATACCCATTTCAATTTATACCCATCTTTAAATAATTCACTGCGATACATATTTTAATGAACTGATGAATTAAGTGGAATTTTAATTTTCAAACATGTGGTAACCCGCTTCATGCAGTTCAGAAATCAAAATTTTCAAACCCCCTTCGATTGATACCCATATTGAAGACCCGTCTTCCAATACGGACAAATCTTGTTCATCGCCTCAGGTGAAGAGGGTTATTCTGTTATTCGCTTATAGAAATCCGACCTCTCCTCTGCAAATATTACGTGATTATACAACTCGTGATTCCACCCGGCACTCACTTTAACAAACCCGAGAGATATCATTATATATCTCCGGCCGGCATCCATTCCTCACCAAAAATTCCCCGTCATCCCTGCCGGTATCTATGACACCCATGAAAAGGAATTTTCTCTTAAGAGCTAATGCGCTAAGCAAGTATGTACTTCCCTTGACCTAGACTTTTTTATAAAGCTGTTTTCAGCCCTGTTTTTCTGCTTTTTTACCGAGTCGACTCGAAGTGAATTTTTATTCTCCAAAACTCTATGTCATCCCTTTTGTTAACTCAAACATCCGACCTTTCTACTCAGCCGTAGTACTCCAGAATTTTGATAGTCATGCATCGGCCCCTTTCTCCAAGCCAAAACGCTGTGGCCTGTAAATTTGAGACGTATATCACTTTGGGATAAATTCCTTTACACCTTAGAATGTGGCAACCACCAGCTCAAGATCGACTGATCCAAATCATTGTGTCACTGGAGTAGTCCAAGGACAATGCAGAGGCCACAGGTTATTTAGGATTACCCAGTGTGCACCGCGCTGAAACTTTACGATTTACACCGTCAGAACATAGTTGCTTTTACTGTTATAATATTAATATTTTGGAGCTTACACTTTTGCTGGGTGTTTGACCGAGCTTCCCTCCTAATTGGTCGCGTGCGCCTTGATGTTGTTGCCCAAATACAGGGACCTACAGTTTATGCCGCATCCGAACGGCAAATGGATTTTATGTAAAGCCATTTGATGGCAGAAATGCACTGAGGTGTTTGACATTGCCTGCCTAAGTGCTACCGCCTTTGAAAAAAAATGTCCTAATTTAAATGTTGCTCGTGCCAGAAATTGATCCCCGGGTCTAGGCAGCGCTTATGCACACCTCTTTCCTCTCAGCTCCAGCAGCCGCTGTTACCATAAAATATTTAAATAATTGGGTATGAAGTCGGCAGTCAGCCTCAGAGTTTCCAGAGTGTCGGAGACGAAAGCTTATATATTTGGGTGTTTATATATTTGAGTGCTTAAATATATTTTTGGGTGTTACTTTGATCGGGTATTAAAACTTATTTCTAAAGCTGAGATCACACGATTGCCGCAAATGCACCAATCTGGAACAATTTTTATTGTGCTGTATTGGAGCACGATAAAAAAATTGTCCCAATCAAATTCTGTACAGTCACACGGTTGCCTCTTTTTATACAATTTTGATTGCCGCAAGTTGGTGAAAATCAATGTAGTGACAATAATTGCCCCAAACTTATCACACGATTGTTCTAGCATGCGGCAACCGTGAAAATAAGATGTTGCGCTGACTTCTAAATTCTGTTTTGTTTTTTGTTGTGTAAAACTGGTGTATTCTTAAAAAAAAAAAGAAATTTGCATCTAATTTATATATTGTGGGCTCATTTTATGCATATTTGTTGTTTGAAAGCAAAAACTTGAGCCCAATGAAAACTGACGCATTTATTTAGAAGTTTGAGTGTACAGTTTTTTTATTTTTCGCCGATAACTGCAACGTGCTAAATATGTGGAGTTCAAGTTACAAGAGTTTTCTTTTTAATTTTGGTTTTCTTTTTAATTTTGCTTTTTNTTTTTTATTAATTACAGGTAAAATAAAATAAATAAAAATTTCAGATTTATACAACAATTGTAAACATTTCTTAAGCTTTTGATCACAATTCAATGGTTTTTAATTTGGATTTCTAGAAAAGAATCTGTTATGCTGTTTACAAAGTAATTTGCATAGAAGAAAGTGCATAATACCGCCTGCTAAAAAAATTATAAACAATCGACAGGATTTTTTAGCAACTTCAAACTTGCACCTTATTGTACTAAATTTTAATGAGCTATAAAACTGAATAACAATTTTTTTTTTCTAAAAATCGAAATTAAAAACCGTGTTCAAAAATTTAAAAAATTTATATAATTTTTGTATAAAGCTTGCAATTTATACGGTTTTGTTAGACAATGAGCTATACTTTTATAGAAAAATAATAAACACTAAACAAATAGAAGAAAAATAGTCAAAACTGGTCAAAATGTTGAAGTTCTACCGATTCGTCTGGGCTGTATTGAACTTTTAAGTTTTTTTTTAATAAATTTATACTGTCATGGCAGTTTGCCAATTGGTGACATAAAATATATTTCGTATTCTTCTCGTAAGAGTTTTGCTTGTGGTGGTATATATCGCAGCAAAGATTCCGTCATCGGACTTCAAGAAAAATTTTAATTTGAATACAAATTAAATTAAAAGTTATGTTGCTTCCGAAAACAAGGATATTCATTTCAGTGATTTTTGGACATAGAAGGAAGCAAAAAAGTAAATTATAAATAAACCGCCTAAATATTGTTGTGTATTGTTCACTTCAATTTCCGCACAAGAACACAATAAATATTGCCGCAATTTTGAAATTTTCATTGCCCCATGATTGCCAATCGAGCTATCACACGATTGCCGCAAGTGCGTTGTATTTGATTGGGCATTGTAAGCACAATATCGGCCTCTATTGCCGCATGAGTCAATTTATTGTGAAATCACACGATTGGGGCATAAAATGAAGCAATAATTGGTGTATTGCGGCAATCGTGGGATCTCAGCTTAAGTCTTTTCACTTCGACGTTTGCAATATATCGAGGACTCATATTCAACACCCTCCATCTGCAATTTTCACAAAAACTACTTTGCGATGTTAGAACTCATATTGGACCTACCTGCCATCATTGCCTTCATTCACAAACCTTGCTTCCATCGGTGAAATAAGCTCATCGGAACAAATTGAGGAAGCCGATGCCTGTAATGCGTCTTCTCTGCTTCCTGCCCAATTTTACTTCCGCGAGGAAAGAGCATACTGCTGGACCAAAGAAATCATCGCTCTAAGGAAGGAAGGGAGGAAACTATTTAATGAAGCAAAGCGTGATGGTTCTTGAACTGCATACAAGGCAGCCCTGAATAAATTTAAAAGTGCCACCAGGAAAGCCGAAATGGACTCCTGGAAGGATTATTGCGATAATATTGAGAGAAGTCCAATGAACCACTGAAACACTTTCATTTCGTTATCAATTCTCGTTCCAGGAAACTTAAATTTCTCTTAAAAACTTAAATTCAAATACCTACTCACAAGCAAAAGTCGAAAAGTCCATTACTTGCTCACTTTAGGTGCTAAATTTTTAAATTAATTAGCGTCAGCACATACACGCCAAGTGACATTAATCACTGTACTACAATAATTTACAAAGTAAACTGGCCGTCGCCACAAAAAATCGCTTCACTTGATATACCGAAGCAGTAGAAATAAGCCAAACTACGACAAGCTAAAGGTAAAGCTAAGCTGAATGGAGTTCATTGAGCGCACTTAATCGGTACTTTGTACATACGGCCAAGAACTACCATCGGCGACTAACTACAAAAAAAATATCTATGCATGTGTGTAAATTTACACACATACTAGGACCGATTTGCTGAATTATACTCGCCCATGCACAACCACATTCACTAAATCTCTTAGCAGTAAGCTTACCAGCTTAGCGCGGTGCCTGTAATACTAAATATTCACCTACATAGCAAGAGCGCATAAATACATACATACATACATACAAAAAACCCTACATGTACGCCTATACCTGTGCATATTCACATGCCAAGGACAACCTATCTGCCTATCTGCCTATTTGCTCACATTTAGCCATTACATGCGACTATTTAACTACTAACTATTCATTGCTTTATTCTCCATCTGCTTAGCATTACTGTTTGTTTTGTTTGTTTTTTTTTCTAATTTTAATTTCACTTCTCTTTCATTTTTTTGCGCATTTCACAGGTATCAACGGGCGAAACGCAATACATCAGAACGGTTGACAATTTAATAGCGTCGAGACTGAGCCTGAAACTGCAATTGCATGCAGCACATTTTGCTGCTGCCATTAATACCCAGCACTTGATGAATCACCTGAGCGGCAGTCAGGCTGCTATCGGTGTGCCCTATAATACACACAATGGCGGCGACGGCGGCGGTGGAATTGGAATTGGTGCTGGTGTTGGTGTAGGTGTGGGCAATGGTGGTTTGGTTTTGCGATGCACAGCACAAATTGGTGATTTGTATCAGGAGTACAAGGAAATCGAATTGGGCACACCGCAAAAGGATCCGGTGCCAGCCAGAGGTGAGTGGAGTGCCGAAGAGAGGGCGGGATTATCTATGCATTTACTACATATTTACTTACAAGTCATTTGTAAATAAGTAAGTGCCAATATATTTAAGTAAGACCGAAATTTAATGCGGGTAGTTGGTTGAAGTAACTTTACGCATTTGCTTTACCGATTGTGCACTTTATTTTAATTCAATGCTATAAGTATTCATAGCTGGGAGTTAGTGAATTTTCTGTCTTCCCATCTGCATTAAACACTTTTTTATTGAGAAATCCCTGGAGCGCTTATTTTAAAATTCAGCTAGATTCTATTAATGTTTTTTTGAATATTTCAATAGTGGTATTACTTAAAATTTAAAAACAGTTAAACATTTTGCAACTTTGACTAATTTTTTTCTCTCCCGACACTTTCGTTAATCAGTTTGGAAACGAGTGACGACAATGCTGTCTGTAGGTTGTTATTGTTTTTCGATCGCATAGGCGCATAGGGTTCTTATCTTGGTCCTTGAATTCTAACTAGATCTAGAAACGTGTCGACCCTCTATCATCACTTGACCGCTTTGGTGGTAAGTACTTTTCCAATTAGAAGACAGCCATATTAGTAATGTAGCTTCTTATGCTGGAACCCATTGGAACCCTTGGGCCCCATGCGCAAGCGATTAGTTTAAGTCCATTATAGGACATTTTGTGGTGGAGGCTGAGTTTTTGGGAACAGCTCTCTTAAGTTGAAGAGTGATAAATAATTACCAAGATGTTGAGCGTACGGATATCACAAAAATGCAACACCGTATTTGTGCTCATAGGTGGCGCCGGAGTCGAGACATTTTTAAACCTTCATCCATCCAAGTCTATAAAGTCGACTGTAAAGTTACTTGCAGCTTTTTTGACAGAAATCCGATTGAAAATTATGTTAAAATGCTGCATTTAACTTTACTGTCGACTTTATATTGACTATGACTACGGGCCAATCATTTAAATTCTATTTTAGGCTAGTTTAAAAAAGTTAAATTTAATCTAGTAAGGGAACTTCTTATACTTTTTAAATTGAATCGCTGCATCTATAAATTATTTTATACTTTTTAGTTCTTGTTGTAATAAAAGCGTGATGTTAGTTGTTTTTTTTTTAAATATAATTTTATTATAAATACATAGATTGGCGCTTACACATATGTTAGTGTTTTGCCGAGCTTGTCCTTCGATTTGTGCTGTGCGGCCTGATGTTGTTACACAAAGGGGAGGGACCTACAGTTTTACGCCGACTCCGGACGGCGATTGTATTTTTATGAGAAGCTGTTTTACATGGCAGAAATACAGTCGGAGGTTTGCCATTGCCTACCGAGGGGCGACCGCCGCTGTTAAGAAAGAAAAAACCTTTTTTCTANACATGGCAGAAATACAGTCGGAGGTTTGCCATTGCCTACCGAGGGGCGACCGCCGCTGTTAAGAAAGAAAAAACCTTTTTTCTATATTTTTTTGCGATGCTGCTTTGACCAGGGCTTGAACCCAGGTCCTGGGGAGTAGAAGTGCGCACTGCCTATCTTTAAACTACAGCGGCCTTTTTGGTACATACATATACTTATAGTAGCAGGAGAAGACGTCGCATGCATCGGTCTATCGCGTTTCTTGATTGTCGGTAATATAATCCTTATCTATCCCTAACTCATCAACCAGCTGCGTAAAGACAGCTTCCTTATTTTAAGTCCGAACATTCCAGATACATGCCATAAATCATAGTTCTTTGAACGCATGCCCTGGTAATCACCAAGAGAACAGGCTGTATTTTCCTTTTCATTAGAAATTTGTCTTATGTAGAGGCACGATTTTTGAATGCAGGCTAAAAGTGTAAGCCGATAGTTGTAAGACAGGTTGTAAGCCGGTTGCAGTCGTACTTCATTGCGAAGAGACGCCGCGGACTTCAGTGGGCTCTTAAACCCAATAAAGCTGCCTCTGTTACCGCATCGCGCACATGGCACAGTGGACGGGCTTTTATTGAGCGAGCGCCCAAAAATTCTTCCAGTGGAGTAATTTTTTCTTTTTTTTAATTCTATGTAATTATTTATAACAAGTAATAAAACATAACGTGGTCGTGATTAGGCATTCTCTGGCAGTATTTCCATCATTCGATTTGGCGTGGAATCCACCGCTTTTTGGCTTGTCGGCTATCAATCCCATTTTTAATCGAAATTCCGCTTGAATTTTTTTTTTCCTTTCCATATGCTGGAACGCACCGTGTATGCCGGCTATAAGAAGCAAAACATAAAAAGTGCAAAAATCAACAACTATGTTGTTTGAGCACATGTGCATACAAAACGAGGTCAAATTTAGTCAAAACAGTGTTTCTTGTCTAAGTCACCTGTAGAGATGACAAAAAATTATGGACATGACAAATAGTTAGCGACCCGCGCCTCAGTGAAACGTGTTTACATACTTATATGCCCACAAATATTATATATACATATGTATGTTAAAGTACGCATGCATATATAGTATAAATACATATAGAATCGTATGGACATATGTAAGCATGTGTACACAAATATATATGTATATGAATATATGACAAAAAACAAATAGTAATAGCTCCATTTCTTTGCTTCACCGCAACATCAAAGGATTTTTTTTCTTTTGATTTGCAGGAAAGGTTAAAAAAACGTATTTCTGCCCGCTGTGCTGCATCACAATAAGACTTTGTTAGACTTTTGCGGCGGAAAATTGCGCTTTTCTTTGACATTCGCGCTGCGGTGGGACGCTTGTGTCCCAATTCGTTATTATTTGTATATATTTTTTTTTAATATTTGTTCGCATACCTTTGGACAGTTATGCACAAATATATAGGCGCTAAATATTAGAAGCCTCGACGGATTAGAAGCTTTGTTAAAGGAATTTGTCTTGCTCCTTACGTTACATATTATTTCAATTATAGTCTAATATGCTAAAAAAGATCGAACTAGTAACTACTGGAATATATGTATAGTATATTTTTTTAGTGAAAAATATTTTCAGGCAGGATATTAGAAGCCTCGACGGATTAGACGGGTGATTTTTTAAGAGCTTGATACCTTTTTTTTTAAAAAAAACGCATAAAATTTGCAAAATCTCATCGGTTCTTTATTTGAAACGTTAGATTGGTCCATGACATTTACTTTTTGAAGAT